TCTCGCTGTGTCTCTCTCTGTCAAATAAATAAATAAAATCTTTAAAAAAAAAAAAAAAAAAGAAAAAAGTGGCTGAAACATATCCTGGCAATGTCAACAAAAAAGGGAATGAATTAAAACTAAAGAAACTAATTTTCATTAAAAAAAATTAAAAAAACAAAAAAGGAATGAGTTGGTACAAGGAAAACTGAACAGCCATAAGGGAACCTGGGAGGGAAGCTCTGGGATATAGGTGTCGGGAACTAAGGGACAATCTTTTCAGGCCCCTCAGTCAAGTGAGTGAACTCCATGCAATCTTAAGTCCATTCGCTCAAGATTCACATCCCCAAAAGAAGGTATCTGATGGATCCAGCTCCGGCACTTGCCTACTTCTTGGCGAGGGAAAAGCAAGAGACTTGGATAATGCCACAAAGATTGTGAGCAGTGGCAGAGGGACTTTCCTCAAAGACAGAATGAATGCTACAAAGGCAAAGACTTTGTCCACGGGGACGGCGGGGGTGGGTGCATTATAAAATTCAGCTGCTGTTGTGGCTTCTGGGATTCCTGGCCAATGTGCGGGCCTGTGTTTATTGGGAGCATGCTCAACATTGAGGTTGTGGTTTGAGACCATAAAATTGAGCATCACTCACTGATAGGTGCATCTACTCACTGGCACTTCTGTCTTGTTCTCTTGATCCCAGTGTGAGCAGTCCCACCTCATGAGAGAACATGAGGATGTCCAGGAGCGGACAACGCTTCGGTACGAGGAGCGCATCACGGAACTCCACAGCATCATTGCTGAGCTCAATAAGAAGATAGACCGTTTGCAAGGCACCACCATCAGGTAGTGAGCTCCCAGCTGCGGCTTTCTCTCTGCGCCTCTGGGTTCTAACCTGGCTCTTGGAGTTGAAGTCGTCCCGATGAATAATAATGATGTTTTATTTGCAGCTAAGACTTTTACAGTTGATAACTACTTTCTCTTTACCTTGTTAACCATGCCCTTTCCCCTCCACTATTCTGTTCTCATCTTGATCGTCTCGAGGGCTCCCCTGGAAAGTAGCCAGGGTGGGAGTTGTAATCCTCAGTTTACTGATAAGAGCGTCGAATCAGAAATGGGTGAAATGATTGATTAGCGAGTTCTGAAGGGCGCCCCTCCATCTCCCTCCCAGGATCCCTACCACCTCTCGAATACCCCAGGTCTGCTCTCGATGTGCAAACTGTGTGTCTCCCTTGGGAATTTTGAGAGATCTATGAATGTGGCTTAGGACTAAGCAGTACGTCTGCTTCTAGATAATCTAGCGTCTTGAGCTCACCTGAAGTTGATTTACCAACATTGATGTGGCCTCTTACAAACTCCTAGGGTAGGGAACAAGATTGGATACATCATTTTATTGGCAAAAAGGCTGGCCCTTAAAAATATTAGGGGATTACTTTGAAGTTCTAGTTAGTAGAGGATAGAGGTGGAGTTAGAACCCGAAGTCTCTCTGCTTTTACTTAATATTCTTTCCATGAAAGTGACTCTTGGGGGTCCTGCCTTCCTCATCAATCAGTTAACCCCTAAGGCTCCTGCACGCAGCCCTTAATTGGCGTATCTGCCTTGCTGTTCAGAGGAGGGGTTCTCTTTGAGTGACTTAGCCAAGGATAACTTTTATCTTCCTGCCTGTCCTCGGGGAACCACCCTGAGGAAAGCAAATGGTTGTCACCTACCTTTATGGAGAAAGAGGGCTTTGTTCACTGAATGTTTGTCCAAGCGGCAATCAGGGCAGTTGTAGAGGCAGCTACTTTAAACTCTCCCTCTAGAAGTCCCAGGTTAGAAGAAACTTCGGGGACATTTTGTTCCAAGTCTGAGAGAGTAATGACAGGGTTATTTGATGAGGGAACTGATGGGCCTCTGGTTTTCTGGGCAAAATCATGGAAACTGCACTACACTGGAGCCACACAGTAAATTCCATATTCCAATTTAGAACCTCAGGGCCTTGAAATTGTATCCCAGTCTTGAGAGTGATTGTAGGTTAGAAACGCATGAGCAGAGAAGAATTTTCAGACCAAAGAAATGATTATAGCAGATTTAAAGGAGGCTGACAGAGTACATTGGCAAATTTGTAATTTCCATTAAAACATGTTGCACTTTTAAACACTTGAAAAGGTGAGGCAAATGGGCTCAGTGAGTTGTGGAAAAAAAGCATCACACATCACCTGGAAAACTCAGTTGCAGGGTGTTTAAATTGAATGTAACGGCCAAACTGCTTCGTGTTAAAATACAGTGAGCTTCTTGACCATAAACATTTATTGGTGCCTTTTATTTAAAGGGAGATGGCATCCGTGCAGATGTCACATTAAATTCTGCCAGTTTTCATTAGGTAAATGAGCTGGCCCCTCCTTAAGGGGACTCCCTGCAGGCCATGCGGACATGTGGGCCAGGAGGACAAGGCTCTTCTGGTCCCCTGACCTCCTCGGCTAAGGCATGTCTCCTGCCCCCAGCACTCCAGGAAATGGGTTTGCCCTCAGGTCCTGAGATGCTTGCTAGACTGAGTGCGGTGGGAGCCAGACACCTTGGAGGAACTCCAACTGCCCTCGCAAATCCAGGGTGTAGAGAATGGATTGTCACACCACTCAGGTACAATGCTGGTACTTATAGATTTTCTTGTCATTTTAGTTTGGGCCTGAGTTAGGAATTTGCTGGAAGTGCTGAAAAATAATGGTAAGGAAATAGTTTATGTAAGCTATGATATATCCATACGTAAGCAATACTAAATTGCTTAAGTAAAAACAAAAATAATCTCATAGTTGTAAACTTTCATCTCAAGTCACAGTCAGAACAGGGACCTTCTGTGGCCACCCTAGAAGACACTCTCCCATCACCTGTAGCCACAGGGCTGACGCAGCCAAGAATCAGACACTGCAGGTGGCCGAATTCCAATGTAAGTTGAATTCACAGCCATACCAGATCTCTTAGGTAAAAATGAAACATTGATAGGAAAGGAAGAAATGGTGAGAATTTGAATCGAGACCCTTGGGTAGGTTTCCACAAATCAGAATACCTAGAGCCTACAAACTCCCGTAAACTCCCGTCCTGCAGAAGCACTCCCCCTCCCTGACTGATAAAGCTAGTCTTACTTTGCTTGGAAACTCTGTAGCAATCTGATCCCAAGTAGGGGGTACTAGCTATACACACTTAGGACCAAGTCCCTCAGGAATAAAGATTGCTAATTATTTCACTCGGTGAAGAGCTCTAACCAACCAAGGTGCTGGCCAAACACAAAGAAAATAGGGATTTCCTAGTGGAAGAAGAAGATTAGAAACATCAACCTTAGCCTTATGGCCAGTTGCAGAAAGGATGGCTAGACTGTGCATATTTCGGTGCTTATTTGTGTATACAATTTCTTTTTTATCTTCTTAATTTCTCCTATTATACAAGGTGAGCTGGTATTGGTGAAACTTATCTAATGATTAGGTTAGATGATATCTAGGAGGATTTGCCACTGACCTAGAAGAGAAGTGGTTACCTGACAATGGATACAATAACTGATGGGACTTAGGGTCTCCCACTTCGGTGAGAAGGTGAATCATTCACATTTGAATGAGGGATGGTTACAGAAGCTTGGTGTCACTGCTATTGTAACTTGGAAATTTCAGGGTGTATGAGAGGCTGTGTGTGGTTGTCGAGTAGCCAAAGAGGGTGGCCTATGACATGTTATCTAGCACCTGGTACCATTCCCACCCCTTCTCTCTACTCTCCCCAGAATCAGAGGCTGGACCCTTGGGACTGCTTCCCAGATTGCCTTAATAGCTGGGTTCTGGAGACAGTTTTGGTTCTGCCAGTGAGGTGCCTTCAAATGGGTTTGGAAAGCAGAAGGGAGGTGGGAGCCATTGTTCCTCAGGCCATGATAGAAGCAGCTGACAGAGGCTTTCATGGGCATGAGGTCCTGCACCTCAGAGCCAGGAGCTGTGGGCAGGTGTGAAGGCAGCGGCAATTTGCTGACCTTTGAGGGGTCCATGCCTGCGATGGCAAATCTGACAGCTCCTGGTGGCCTCCGCCCACACTTCTCTGGTCCTTCCAACGGTTATGCAAGCGTGGAACTGCCTAAATTAAATCTCTTCTACTTGAAACATCCAGTGTAGTTTATGTTCCTAACTGAACCCTGCCTAATGCATCCTAAATCCCATCTCCTAGGAATAAACACTGAACATTTTGTATATATGGCCTTCTAAAAAATTTTACTCATGAATATTTTAAATAAATTGGATCATATAGCAAACAATGTTTTTGTAATATATGCTTTTCCACTTAACTGTATATTATGAGTGGCTTCTTTTAATGCTTATCTGACTTGGGGAGATTATATAATGGGATGGGGAAAGTGGAAAAATACATCAGTAGCTCACTTGAAATGGGGGGGTGGATTTCGAAGCAAATTAAACATGAGCTGTTTTGTTTCCCAAAGAGATTCTTTTTTTTTTTTTTTTTTAAAGATTTTATTTATTTATTTGAGAGAGAGAGAGAGCATGCACAAGTCAGGGGCGGGGGAGGGTAGAGGCAGAGGGAGAAACAGGCTTCCCCTTGAGCAGGGAGCTTGAGGCGGGACTCGATCCCAGGACCCTGGGATCATGACCTGAGCTGAAGGTATATGCTTAACTGACTGAGCCCCCCAGGTGCCCCCAAGGAGATTATTTTCTTTGCCCCAAACCTACTCTCATAACATCATCCTTTCACTGCCAGCTCTCGTGAGTAGTCATGTTTTCTGCCTCATTTCCTGTTTGTTAGCCCATTGCTGTCTGGCTTCTGAGTGCAACAGTTTCCCGAAGCTCCTTTTGCTAAGGACTGAATTATGTATCTGAAAATCAAAATTCATATGTGGAAGCCCTACCCCTGAATATGATGGCATTTTGGAGTTGGAGCCTTTGGGAGTTACTTCTGTTTCGTTGAGGTCTGAGGATGGGGACTGCATGGTAGGTGTAGTGAGCGCCCTTAGAAGAAGAGACACCAGAGGGCTTGCTCACGGGGTGCACTCCCCCTGCTGTGAGGACCCGGTGACAGGGCAGCCGTCTGTAAGCCAGGAAGAAAGCCCTTACCAGAAACTGACCATGCGGCCACCTTGATTTTGGACTTCAAACCAAAGCCTAGAACTAAGAGAAAATAAAATCCTGTTGCTTAAGCTAGCTCGTCTACAGCGTCTTGTTACAGCAGCAGCCTGAGTGAAGAGACTTTTTTTAAAATCACTAATGACTTCTTAACTGAAAAATCCAGGGACCTTTTCTTGTGTCTGGTCCTTTTCTGCAGGATTTGCTTCCAAATCTTCCTTCTTGGTGTGTTTTTCTTGAACTTCTAGGACCCTATATCTTCTGTCCCTGAGATTCACCTTCAGCCTTGGCTCTTTTTTTTTTTAAAGATTTTATTTATTTATTCATGAGAGACAGAGAGAGAGAGAGAGAGAGAGGCAGAGGGAGAAGCAGGCTCCCAAGGAGGAGGGAGCCCGATGTGGGACTCGATCCCAGGACCCTGGGTTCATGACCTGAGCCGAAGGCAGACGCTTAACCATCTGAGCCACCCAGGCGCCCAGCCTTGGCTCTTACCCTAGGCTCTCCCCTCCCCTTTCACCTCGAAGGGCTACAACCCTGCAGCCCTGACTCCTCCCCTCTGAGTTACCTCCTCTGCACTGGCAGTTCACCCTTCTGCTGCTTTGTCTGCAAAATGCTCATTGGCAACAAAGATAATACGCAAAGTCCCGTCTACTCTAACATAATCCAGTCTCTAAAATCTCATACCTGCACTATGAGCCTGACCTTTTCATTTGCCCAGTTATTCACCAAAAGATTCATGGATGAGTCTGTCTTCCTTTGTGCTAGATGGAAAAATAAGAGGAGGAATTACAGAAAGAATCAGGACTTACCACTGATTTCCTGCTTTAGAGCCTCTAAGAGAATTGAAAGGAATACATTTCCTCATTGTATCTAAAAAGTCTTTGTTCTTTAAAAAAATGATGGCATTTCAGGGCAAGTCTGCCTTTACTTGTCAGGAAGAACGTAGTTCAACAAAACTCCCACCAGGGTCAGGTAGGCTGGGTTAGCTGGACATAGTTGACTGACAGGTGCCAAGGCAGGTAGACATCCATCTGGATCTTGTTCACCCATCAATCCAGTGACAAGGCATGAATGTGCACACCAAAATAGAATAGGCATGGGGATTGCTAAAGAAGTAATATTCGTATCAAATATTACTGATTCCATGGTACTTCAGCTTCAGGTCTGGAAATTGGGAAAAGAATTAGCCTTTCATTGACTCTTCCCTTTTCAGATAAGATCATTTCACCCCTAGTCAATAATGAAAAGGAATCTTTAAAAATCATCGTCAGCAACAACAACCAAATCTTCTCCTTAGATCACCATATTTGACTGCTGTTTCATTGGTCCTAAATTTAGGAAAGAAGCTGCACTGCTCACTAGTTGTAGAATCTTGGGTAAATCACTAGCCTCTTGAAGCTTCAGTCGTCTTACTTGTAAATAAAAGGTATTGATCCCGGCTTTGACGAACCCTAAGATCTCTGCTGGTCAGCCACTGCTAGTTACGTAGGTTGTGGGTACAACCTAATGCCGCGTCCTTGGGAGCATTTTTCTTTTGTTGTTTAAGCTCGTAGCAAGCACTAATCATTGCCACTCTAAGAGCAACTTGGAAGCACTTCACAAATGCTTCTAGGTGAACGAAATAAGGTACATTTAGAATCCTGTGAGGTGATTCTTTATCTTCCAAAGAGAAACACCTGAGCACTTTGTAATTCCATAATTATGAAACCACCACAATAGTGTATAATTACCAACATTTATCAGTCGATTAAGCTTCTGGGGTTTGTTTTGTTGTGGGTTTTTTTTCTTTTTTTTTTTTGGCTTAAAATGATCACTTCTTGGAAATTTTCATGTTTTCTTCTCTCTCATCTCCAGCATTAGCAGCTGGTGTTATTTGGGGAGATCCTTTTTCCCCCAAAGGAATAAGTTTCATTTGCCAAGAGTTACTGTATACACAACAGAAAGAAGCAAGCAATAAAGTCACTTTGAGATGCTGATGCTGTGGTGGTAGCTAGACATCTTTACCAGCCAGGGGACTCCTACTGCACAGAGCAGCCTTGAAGACACACCTCATGTTCTTGCTTTTGTAAAACTGCTGGGACTTGTAAAGGCTTTTTGACTTCTTGTTCCATTGCTCTGGATGAACTGGTGCTCCCGAATAACACAGTAGAGAGAGAACCCCGAGCACCCATGTTCTACACACACTGCAATCACAGATTGACCGTCTGCTTACAAAAGGCCCTATGAGAATTGGCTTTTGTTCTTTCTCTGTCCCAGATTCCAGCCTCTTTTTAGGAATGATGCCAGTATTGCTGTTCAGGAGATGATAAGGATATGCAACTCTGTGAATTTTTTGACAAGGTCAGTGGGTGAAACAAAAAGGTTGTACATACTTTAATATTTGGGTTCAGTTTAACCATTTTTTCTACCTCTTCCTTTGTGGTACAGAACCCTGCCTGATGTTGCAAGGTTGCTTTCTGCCTCTCACTATTATTGACTTGGTTTGCACGAGTTGTTTGTACTATAATACTCACTATAATTACCATAAGGAGGAATCTTAACCAGGAATTGTGTGTGCTCAGCTCAGTGCTTCCCTTTGGGGTCAAGAACACAGACCTTAGGCACTTCCCCCTGCTTCTTTTCTCTCTTTCCATAGGAGAGCTCGGCAACACTTACTTCTTCCCCTGAATTCCTAGACTTCATCATCTTATTTTTGTTTCTCCTGTCTAACTTTGCCTCCTTCAATACAGTAAGTTCTCCTTCTGATCAAAATGGCCCGAGTGCCCCACCAGCCTCATGGTTTCCATTGGGCACCCCATGTGGTTTCAGCAATACCAACCACTTATTCCTCTCCATTCTCGTCTCATTCACATTCAGAGGCACCTCTGAGCCTTTGCTTGTGCCCTTCCACCCTCGTGACCTACCTAAAATCTACTTGCCTGGGACTTCTCTGGAGCAGTGCTCCATCACGAAAGTCTTCCTTGGCTACTACTCAGCTGCAGCCCCAGATGCTCCTCCTGTGTCCACACACAGCGTGCTTCTTGGGTTAGAATTAGTTGTGAACACATTTGACTCCTGGAAGACAGCATCCAGCTGGTCTTTGCTTTCCTGTTCTTATTTTGGTGCTCGAATACATTGACCACGGATCCTTAGTTTGCATTTCATGACCCTGAAAGTCTTTTGCCTAAGATGACACTTCTAGTGTAGCGTGATTGTCCTTCAGACTGTGCCCTGACCTCAGTGAGGAGTGGCCCTTGCGATCGACAGGCTCCTTTTTCTAGCCCTTCCCTATTCACTGCTATATAAAGTTCATCCTAATAATCCCTAGAAGTAACTCCTTACAAAGCATGAGATTTGACAGGCCCTGTGTGTTTTGGAACCTGCCAAGCCAGGAGGGTTTAAGATGGCTATTAACGATTCTGCAAATGCCATTTATACCAGAGATAGAGCAGCATTTATCTGGCTTTCTTGGCTGTAGAACAGTCTCAGCCAAGCTGAAGCTGATTACATTGGCCATGCAACAAAGGTAATTTATTCATCATACACAAAACCTCCCGTTAACTAAAATCAGATTTTTAAGTGCTGATTGAGAGGAGAGCTGATGTATCAGGGCACAATTACCCTCTAGACCAAAAAGGCTCCTCTTAAGGTACTTTTAAATTGTTTTCATTCCTAAACCTAATTATTGTTAGCTTTGCAGTGTCTAATAATTAACTTATTCATAGAACATTAACCTACATTTTTTGCCTTCACCACTCCCATTCTAATTCATAATTTGCATGTCTGGGGGCTTAATATCTGTTAAAAGTCTCCCCAGATTTCTGGACGGCTTTTATTAAAAACACCTTATAAAGCAGGGGCTCAGCTGAATTCCTTCCCTGGGAGGATGTTGATTTCTTGAGAGAACTAGGAACTCTGGAGAGTTCTTCACATTCTCTAATTTATAGATGTGTCTTCCCAGCTTAACATGGCAGTTGCCTCTTCCCCAAGTTTCAGTGGTCACCCATTACCATCTTGGTCTACCCCAAACCCAAGGCTGTAGACTCTCTGCCCCACTGGTGTCCACAACTTCAAGTGAATGCCAAACCAAGAGGACTTCTCTTCCTGGCTTTCTACACAGACTTTCGTGGGCTTTGCAGCCTCAATTAAATCCCTGACAGTTTTCTCTTCTGGCTCACTTGCAAAATAAATGCTTTGCAGCGGGTTGATTTTGCCCTCTCCATGTCCGTGTCCAGTGTGTGTGTATGATGGCGGTGGTGTGAGGAAGAGGTATGCATGTGCTTTGAAAGACATAATACAATTGTAAGCTTCCTTCACTTGACCATAGCTAGTTCAGGGACCAAAGGTTGAGGGATTGTGTAGGGCTGAGAAGGGGCAGTGTGTGTGTGTGCAGATGCAACATGGCAGCATTTAAGTGTTGACTTCCTGTTGCAAGTGCTGACTGATGGGAACAGACCACTGAGTGACGTGCACTCACCCACTGTGTCCGTTTTTCTCCTCTCCCCATCCTCTTTTCCTATCCCCTAACTCCACTGACTTGCTTTAGGGAAAGTAAGTGTGGTATTTACCAGATACATCTCTCAAAGCATCCAGGTTGATGTGCACAGGTAAGGTGCTGGTTTTCCGGTAGCTCCAGCCCCAAAACTTCCTTATATCCTCTTCCAAGGAGAAAGCCCTCCAGTGGGACCCTCCAGGTGATGGGATGTGACATTCCTGTGCACCAGACTCCTGCTTATTTTGCTCGCTGTAGCTTCAGTACTCAGACCAGCTCTCTGGTCTTGGGTTCTTTTTCACATCAGAATCTAAGGAGGTAAAGAAATCTAAATCTTAAAAGCAAAAAAGTTTCTAGTAGGCTGTTACATGGATCTCGTTCAGTATATGGATATGTATGTGGACCCAGGACCCTTTCAGTTTCACACAGGAACCGTAGAGGTGACTGACTGTTCATTTGGCCTGAAAAGAGTCCTAGTCCATATGGCTAAGGAGGGTGGGCAGGGGGAGTAGATCTGTCTGTTTTCTTTCTGAATGTCTTTCTTGTCCTTAGAAGTCATATTCTCTAGGAATTTGTCTTCTATCTCTGTCAGTGGTAGCTGACTCTTCTTTTTTTTTTCAGGGAGGAAGATGAGTACTCAGAACTGCGATCAGAGCTCAGCCAGAGTCAGCATGAGGTCAACGAAGACTCTCGAAGCATGGACCAAGACCAGACCTCTGTCTCCATCCCTGAAAACCAGTCCACCATGGTCACTGCTGACATGGGTGAGTCTGCCTGCCATTTCATGAAGCCAGAGTTTGGTTTCTGGATTGTAATGGGAATTTTAGAAATATGAGGCAGCCTAAATTAAAATTTAATTAGTCAGGGAGTTTGGTGAGTAGATGAAAGCACATCCATTTGAGTCCCTTACATGCTACTCTGTTGGAACTAAAGAGGTGAATGAGCTTTCTGCCCTGATGTTTGTGATTCGAACATAGATCACCTCTATTTGAAAATTCTGGAGATAGGGAACCAGCTGAAAAGGCTATTGTAGTATTCCAAGTTACAGTAAAAGCTGAGCTATGATGGCAGGAATGGGAAGGATGGAATGGGTGGCAACCCATTGCGGTGGAAGAACCAATAGGTTTCAGTAACTGTTGGGTAAGAAGAAATCCAAAATGACTCTAACCTGTTGATCCTGAGTGACTAAGAGAATGATCATAGTTCTTAGTAAGGATGTTTGAGAAATGAGTTGGGAAATAAATATATTATGTTTGAGGTTGTAGAGAAATGTCCATCTGGGAATACTTGGTTTGGTGTATTTTAAACTGCTGGTCATGACCTGTTAGTGGGTCTTGAGATTAAATGAAAAATCTTTTTTTTTTAAGATTTTATTTATTTATTTGACAGAGAGAGACACAGAGAGAGAGGGAACACAAGCAGAGGGAGTGGGAGAGGGAGAAGCAGGCTTCCTGCTGAGCAGGGAGCCCGATGCGGGGCTCGATCCCAGGACCCTGGGATCATGACCTGAGCCGAAGGCAGACGCTTAACACCTGAGCCACCCAGACACCCCGAAAAATATTTTTTAAGTGAAATCAAATAGGAAAAAAATAAAATGACAGTATGACTTCATGAAACTTACTTGTTGGGTATGTGTGTGTGTGATAAGTTGCCGAATGAAATGTTTCTGCTGCGGGTTGCAGTCAACCCACAAAATGTTGCAAAACCACTGGTCTACTTGGAGATGCTTAACTGGATCTTTGGAGAGATAGGGGTTGAGGGTAAAGGCTTTGAAGTTATGAGGTAAGGAGATCTCTGTGGTCAAAAGGGTGTGGAGTCAGAAGAGGGAGGAGCACTGTATCTTAGGAAATGTTCACATGTAGGGAAGATAGAAGAAGGACTACGAGAAGGAGGCGTAAACATAGTGTAACTTTCTTAGAACCTAAAATTTTGTTGGGGGGAGAGTCTTGAATATAGTACACATTTATATTAATTATGAAAGTGCTGTAACATTAAGGAACATAGTACCATGAGAGTTTATCAAAGGAATTTTTTTTTTTTTAAAGATTTTATTATTTATTTGACAGAGAGAGACACAGCGAGAGAGGGAACACAAGCAGGGGGAGTGGGAGAAGGAGAAGCAGGCTTCCTGCTGAGAGGGAGCCAGACGCAAGGCTCGATCCCAGGACTCTGGGATCATGACCTGAGCCGAAGGCAGACGCTTAACGACTGAGCCACCCAGGCTCCCCTCCTTTCTCTTTTTTTTTTTTTTTTTTTTTAAGATTTTTATTTATTTGAGAGCGAGAGAGAGAGAGAGAGTGCATGGAATTTGATTCAGTTTAAGATTCTAGAAGAGCTTCTTCTAGGAAGTGACATTTGAGCCGAGAGCTGGAGAGTAAGTAGGAATTAACCAGTTAAAGGAGGAGATGCATTCAGGGGAGGGTGGGGGAGTGGATGCATTCAAGGAAATGAAAAGAGATCATGGAGGGCCCGGAGATGTGAGATGGAGGCTGGAGAGGTAGGCCGGAGCCATAGCATGCAGGATCTTGTAGACCGCATTAGAGAGTTTGACCATGAATCAAAGATGCACAAGAAACCACTGAAAGATGTGAGTAGTAGGGGAAGGGGATGCAATGATCAGGTTTGCATTTTAAATCAATCATTCTGTAGTAAAGAGAATCAGTGGTTAAAGAATGAATGGGGGAGGGGCGCCTGGGTGGCTCAGGCGTTAAGCATTTGCCTTCCGCTCAGGTCATGATCCCAGGGTCCTGGGATCGAGCCCCGCATCGGGCTCCCTGCTCAGCGGGAAGCCTGCTTCTCCTTCTCCCACTCCCCCTGCTTGTGTTCCTGCTCTCACTGTGTCTCTCTCTGTCAAATAAATAAATAAAATCTTTAAAAAAAAAAAAAAAGAATGAATGGGGGAGGCCAGCTAGGAAACCATTGCTAAAGTCTCAGTGGGTATGATTCTTGCTAGGATGAGGGTGGTGGTAGTTAAGATCTAGAAAGATTTAATGTTGGCAAGATCTGCTGAAGGATTAGAAACGGAGGGGAAAAGGAAGTATGTATGCGGAGATGTTCTCTAAGTGTCTGGATCGCACGATGGGTGGACGGCACTGCCAAGTCCCAACATGGGAGCACAGGAAAAAGGACCAGGTGGTTTTGCGTCGAGTTTTGTTTTGTTTTGTTTTACTTGAAGGAAGTGGGAGTGCAGGGTGGAGCGCCTGTGTTTTGTTTGGGCGTAAGTTTGAGGTGTCTTGAGGTGTCTGGGTGGAGATGCTTCCGAAGGCAGCAGGTATTGATGAGAAGCCAAGAGGAGAGGGCTAGGCTGAAGAAAAGCAGTTAGGAGACACTGAGTTATGTGCAGTTACCAAAGCAGTGGGAGGCCGTGGTAGAGTGAGGAGTGCAGAGAACCAGGGCCTAAGCCTTGGGGGCCACCAGCCAGGGAGGAGACCCGGCAGAGCTCCTGGCAAGGATGTGTCCCTCCTCATTTTAGTCTTGGTTTAAATGCACCTCCTTTGAAAGCATCTCATGGGCACTAGCCTGCAGCTTCCTGTGTTGACTCTGGCACTGCCCCATTTGTCTCCTTCTGTTGAATTGAAATTTTAAATGATGTATTTCTAGCTCTTTGCTTGACTGACCATCCCACTAAACGCCACTGGGCAGAAGCATGTTTATCTACTAGCAGATCTCCAGAGCCCACCGCTGGGCCTGGCACATAGTGTGTGTTTGGAGATGTTTGCTGGGACGAACATGTGAAGCAGTCAGCAAGTCCATCAAGCAGTCGGCCGGCCAAAGCTGTAGGAGGAAAGGAGGAGAGCCATGTCTGGGAAGTCAGTGGGGACAGAGAAAGCTCTAAAAAGGAAGAGGTCGGTAGGATGGATGGGTGCTGAGGCTAGCAAAGTCATGGAGAGCTGTATACTGATACTGATGTGATCCCAACAGAAATGGAGTGAGGAGTAGAGGCACCTCCTAGATCCTCAGGCTCTTGGCTTCAGGCTGAAACTGCCTCTCTGAAATTCACCTGGACCCCTACCCTGGGCCTTGAGTTAAAACACACGCAACCTCCGTTGACCATCCCAGCTGTGGGTCCAAGTCCCATGTGCTGCTATACCAGCGCCGCAGTCTCTAACCCTAGTGGCTGAGGCTTCTGGACTCTGCCCTCCAGCTTCACGAGTGGGACAGGTGCAGACAGCCCAGAAGTTCCCATTCAAGCAAGAGATAACGCCTGTGCTGATCCCTCCGTTCATGTCTCTGAATGTGTATTTTATGAAATAAGTGCCCCATGCTCCAATAAAGTTTCTTAGTCAAGTAAGGTTGGGAAGTAGAGGGATAAACCTACTTCAGTGGGCTGGGCATCTTTGCTGTGGGACTTCTCAGAGCTCCTAACAGAGTGCTCAGTAGCTCAGGCTGTCTGCCTGTCCGTGCTGTGAGCTGGCTTTCTTTTCCCAAATGATGAATCTCAAATCCTTTCTTTCTCCTCTTCCCCATTATAAATATATGTTCATTATAGCCAGTGATAGTATCTCAGCCAACAAGACTAAGCTCCTGGAGGGAGGGGACCCCATCTGCCCAATGTCTGTGTGTGTTCTCTGCCCACAGAGGCGGCCTCGATTCACTTATTCAGCAACTCACTGGGTGCGGGGCGAGGGACTGGGGGTGTGAGACACAGGATCTGCCCTCAGATCGCTGTCCTCGCATGCTCTCGTCTCTCGCACCGAGAGTGACGTCCCGTCTCCTGACCATGGACTGTCTGCCCCCACAGAACTGGGCGTCCCCCACCTTGGGCCATGCTGGCCTCCATGCTGCCCCTCATACCTGACCAGCTTGTCTGTCCTCACTGTTCCCTCTTCCTGGAGTGCTCCTTCCCTGAGCCGACCCTCGGCTTCCTCCACCTGTCAGGGCCCGGATGGAGCACTCTGGCCTTCCCTCACCCTCAACCTGAGATGAGAAGCAAAGAGGAGAGGTCTAGGCTGGAGAAAAGCAGTTAGGAGACACTGGGTTATGTGCAGTTACCAAAGCAGTGAGAGGCTGTGGTAGAGCGAGGAGTGCAGAGAACCAGGGCCTAAGCCTTGGGGGCCACCAGCCAGGGAGGAGACCTGGCAGAGCTCCTGGCAGGGAGGCCAGGCACTCTCCTCCCTTTCTGCTTCATTTCTCCTCACAGCACTTAGTTCTTCCTGGTGGTTCACTGTATGTGCCTTTCTCTTATCGTGTATTACTAGTTGTACTAGTCTCTCACGCGAGAATCTAGAATGCAGGCCCCACGAGGGCAGGGGTGTCAGCCCTCTTGCCTGCCATTTGTCACAGTGCCCACACAGAGGAGGCACCCAGATACCGAGTAGCAGCGAATGCCATCTTGGAGCGCACACTTCTCCGGAGGATGCAGACAAGCCAACGGGGAATGACCCACAGTGAGGTGAGGCCCACGACAGGAGGTGGACAGCGGGTCCTAGCCACGCCCAGGGGCAGGAGCCTCGGCCAAGACCTCCCTGAGGTCGCATCTAGCAGAAAGCCAAGCAACAGATGGGAGTGAGGCAGGCGAAGAGCAGGGGCAGGAGGAGAGCACGGGAGGCCGGCAGCCGCCGGCTCTCTGGGGAATGCAGGCGCGGGGACAGCGAGGAGGAGGAGGGGTGCGTGACGGCTGGGGCAGAGCGCAGTCCCCGGGTGTGGTCACTGGGACTGGACGTCTGCCTCTCCTTACTCCTTTGCCATTTCCCAATTAAACTGCTTCAATAGGGAAAAAAGCTTCCATATATAAACACCATTATAGGAAATCATTAAAAAGCGG